CTAGAAATCTCGTAAAAACGGAAAAAAATTGTAATTTTTTGTGTAAAATAACACATAAATAAGTACTTTGCGTCATTTTACCCACAGGCGTAATTTGATTTTCCAGTTGAAACATGTTCAAAAACATGCACTTTCACTAAAAAAAAAATCAACCACCTACAATGACGTCATATCTGGAAACCATAGTTATTGATCATTACCAAACTTAGATTGAAATACTTCAATTCCAATATGGTACTGAGTGGAAACTCGTGTTCTAAGTATAGAACTATAAGTTGCAATATGCCAAAGATAATGATAATACTAAAATAAAATAACAGTAACCGACATAAACTAGCTAGAAAACGTAACGTTACTAGAAATTAAAGAAAAAACACAGGAATTATATATACTATTCCGCTGGGTAAGTATTTGGACAGTTCAGATAACGTGCGTTGTTTGATGAGTAACTAAAGATGATTAAACATGGATTTCTACTAAAAATTGCTTACAATTTGTTTTACAAAGTGGCAAGCGAAAGGAATTTGCATGCCTCGACTTACAGCTAAAGTTTCGGCTGTTTATTTAAAAATCAAATTCCAGGACTAAAAAACTCCACTTTTAACCAATATCTACCAAGTTATCAAAAGCATTTTGCTTTCGATATTATTTCGATATTTGCGATATCATTTGGTTTCGTAAGGTTTCACGGCTTACTACACCCATTTTTAGAAGTTGATTCAGTAATAATCCCCGTTTTCGTCTTTTGAGGCTGCCCTTTCAGTAGAATTTGGAACAGCAGTTTCCGTGAGTGGAAATCTGATGAATAAAAGGTTTTCCACTAAGCTTCTCATGATCACTCCTGTTTTAACAGGAGTGACCTTGAGTTTTACCTGAGTTTTTCATAACACAGACTGCTGAAATGCAAGAATTACTTAGGTGTTAGTATAAAAAGGGTACAATATGAAAAAATTCTTTAATAAGAAAAAAATAGTTATAAGTGACAAAAATGTTCATGTACTGCAGAGATACTTAACGGGTTGGTTTACTTTTAATTAGCCGTGGAGGTTTCGGATACCCAGAATCGCTTTAATATCTTCTTTATGGTTAATTAATGCCTTAATATCATAGGTGACGAATTACTCCTTAATTTTGGCGCAAAATTTCAGCGATAATTTGTAATTTCACATGTGAAATTACAAAATTGCCATGGCAACCTTCCGAACGTGGCAGTCTCAAGATGGCGACGAAGTTTTAAAATGTCATGATGGAAGATGCCCGGGCATATAAAGACGCTTTAGAAAACCTGAACACACCAAAAAGCACATCAGGAAGGACAGGTATTTTATCGAAAAATTCTAAACTTGAGTCAAATTTAAGCGCTAAACGTTCGAGAGAGTGGAGTTCTCGATCGATACGACCCAGGATAAACATGTCAAAAATCCAAGATTGGTAACGTAATTCGTTTCCCCTTTAATATTAATAGGTAATCAAATGGTATACTCGTGAAATTAGGGAATAATTTCACTTGCGTTCTGTCAGAATCCTTATAATTTCCCGAGCCTTTAAAGGCTCGGGAAATTATAAGGATTTGGACAAAACGCAAATGAAATTATTCCCTAATTTAACTCGTCACCATTTGATTACACATACGAATCCCCTTAGTATTAGCTGAGATGCTTCATGAAAAGTACTTGAAATGAAACCTATCGGCACTCAAAATTATCATGTAAAAACAATATTGATGTTATTGGAACAAATAAACGTGCAGCAACTCGTGCTCCAGGCCTCCATATTCGTGTCACTTCTCATCCAGAGCAGTAAGGTGGTAAAGACCGCAAGATTCAAACTGCCCTAACACAATGTCTCGTCTTTTTCTGCTTTTTGTTGCTGGGATGATTTTCGCAGCTCATTCATCCCTTATCCGAAAGGTATGTCAATTTTTAAAGCTCGACTATCTCACGAAAAGTTTAAAACTGTACGCATGGCTCCCGGCGAGTTAAAATAACTATATGTCATCACTTTCTTTTGCGTTCTGATTTCCTTTTGTCAAAGAGCCCCTTACGTACTACCAGCAAACACAAAAACAGACTAGTATTTTGTTACTGAAACTTTTTTCTTTAAGTAATGATCGAGGTAAGAAGGGAAGCAATTTGTTTTGTTGTGGCGCAATACGCTTTCCTCACATAGAAATGTTTTCATTTTCAGGCAGAGAATGTGTAAACCTACCAAAAAGGCAGTTTACGAAAGAAAATGCATTTAAACTCCACTTTTAAACGGTGTATTTTTGTGTTAAAAAATTTCGACCAATCACAAGAGTTGCAAACAATGGCCAAGAAATGTTCACAATTTTACATGATCCGCACATACGATTTCCGTGTTACTTAGACTCAGACGAGATTTGTTATAACGAAGTGGGATAGAAAAAAAGGGATTAATACACATGCTGTTTTGCGAAGATTTCGTAAAATTTGATGTTTAAACCAATCAGAACCATAGTGGAGACAATAGTAAGGTTAGCACCTTTTTGCCATCCGACGTGTTCACTGCGTTTTGGTCCTTTCCTTCAATTCTTATATGGACCATTACTTCATGTTTCATTCCTGGAGCTAATTTGCGTGGCATCTTAATCATAGGGCGCGGTCTTTTCAGAACTAGGATCATGTTCAGTCATTTCCTTGTACTGATTCAAAAACTGTGCCAGACTTAAAAATGCATGACACAGCACAGTAAGAGCATTCAAAGCAACAGTAAAACACATATCAGTGCTAAGCAAAGGTACCTATGGATTAATTTTTCGAATGTCTGCACTCTACAGGATTCGTTGTCGGAACTTGGGGAAATAGATGGTGAAGAAACAGCCGATGTGCCAGAGAATGAAATGCCTACAGAAGGTTAGTAAATTTTTCGAATGTTGAAATAAACGAAACTCATTTTTTCAGACTATCAATATGTTGGTTATTAATTTTTTTTTCGTTCATAGCTATTTTAAAGACGAAATGGACGAGAATGAAACAGAATTGGGCGAGGAAGACTTTGATGACGAGGAACATGAAGACTCAGACGAGATGCCAGAGGAAGGTACCAAGTATTTTTATAACAACAGAAACCTTTAGATTACGAGAACAAGATTTCCTCAATACTAAGTAGTGGCGCATGAGCCAGCGTCATTTTGACGGGAAAAGGAGATACCCGGGGTAATTTTACGACTTCTGCTTTTCATTACGAGAAAATACGCAATAATTAGCGTGAAACGGCGCCTAATATTGCTAAGATACGTTCATTAGCGCGAAAAAACAAACATTTGCTCATAAATAATAGTCAGTTGGTAGGATTTTTGCGTTCTAATCAACATTCAGTAACACTTTTGGGCATTCATATGCGTCATTAGGCATGCAAAGGAGAAAAATATCATCTCATATATCGTCTCAACACATCCAAGTCATACATACCATCCTGAGAGTCAACAAAGACCACAGACAAACGCTAAAGTGCAAATAGTATTTGCTGACATTTTTATGACACTATTTGAAATTCAACAGCATTCCTGGACGGCGTTAGGATGGATAAGACGAACGTTTTATGCGCTTGTACAATATCGAGCGTTCTTTACATCTAATATACAAAAAATCTCCTTCAAAAAAGTAAACGCTTCTGCTTTGCTAGGAAAAAACTACCATGAAGCTTCCCGGACTGTTTATTTTTGGAAAATACACGAAAGAAATCTTGTCTTGGTAGTTGTGCTCGTCCTCGAATCTAAAGTTCTCTATTGATGTTTTTGACACAATGAATAAAGAAGAGTCTTGAAAAAGCTATTGTTGTTTTGTGATATTTCTTTTCCAAAATAGGTGAGGAGGTAGAGGAAGGCCAGCCACAAGAAGACACCGATGATGCAGCCATCGCTCTTGGTGAAGGTGAGAGCTACTTTAAATATAAAGCACAAAAATATTAATTAATTGATTAAACCTCGGAAGTACATGTACACACAAAGTCATATTCTCACCGTTCTACAAGGGGGGGCTTGGCATTGATGGAACCTCCCCTTGAGTTTTTGATATGTTGCAGTTTTTGCCTTCATATTGAAAAGCCTTTCATCTTCTCAACAAGATGAGCTATAGTGCTGCTGGAGGCCTATGACGTCCCCGAAAATGGTCGCCATCTGGGCCGCCATCTTGGATTTTACCCAGAACTAGAAATCTCGTAAAAACGGAAAAAAATTGTAATTTTTTGTGTAAAATAACACATAAATAAGTACTTTGCGTCATTTTACCCACAGGCGTAATTTGATTTTCCAGTTGAAACATGTTCAAAAACATGCACTTTCACTAAAAAAAAAATCAACCACCTACAATGACGTCATATCTGGAAACCATAGTTATTGATCATTACCAAACTTAACTAACAATTCGTGCGAAGGAGATTACGGACAGCTGCTGAAAACGCCAGAGGCTGATGTTTGTTTGTCTAAGAAAAAAGTCATCCACCTTCACCCCCTTGTACGTCCGAGGGTTAAAGGGTTAGAGTACTGCTACTTGCTCCGATCAAGCACCCAAAATCTAATTAGCAACACGCAAATGGCTCTATCGTGGAGTAATGGGATAAAGTTGAGGAAAAAAACTTACCCCAAAAGCCAAACAAAGAGCAAGCTGAGACAGTTCATAAAATCACCATCATTAATTCATTTCAAAATGAAGCTGCCTGCAAAAGGCTCTAATTCTATTCTTAACCTACTTACTCGTTAGAAATCGTAAAGTGGAAACCGAGAACCTGGTAGCATCGATTGATATCTGTTTCGATCATTTCTTTACATAATAGGTCATTTGCATGATGGAATCATTTTACTACTACCATAATTAATTCTTCACGTGTTTGCTTTCTTGATGAAGATTAGAACTTTTGCCCTTTATACCTCACTGGGATTACGGAATTGGAATTCAAGGGAAAAACGAAACGAATTCCTGTTCCTAGTGGTAAAAAGACGTTATCGTGCAAACGACCTATTATATTTAAGACATCCTTAATTAGCTTATGTTCTCCTTAACATCGCTGCAGATGTTAAAAAGAGCAGACGTCTGGGTTATTGTCGTTACCACTGCCGCTTCTGCACTTATCGTTGGCACAGATGCAGACGCCTTCGTTATCGTCGCTATCGTTATCACGTGTGTTACAACTGCAGGCGTTTTTGAATTTACCATATTATCGCCGTCACCGTACGTAAAAGTTAAGTTGTGGCATCCAAACTGAGAAAAACAAAGAAAACAGCCTTTATTTCTACAGCTAAAGACTTTCCAGATCTTTAAATGCTAAAAACGAAAATAAAAACGTTAAACGACAGTGTACTAACATTTTTAACTAAATGCTTTTAATGCTGATGCCAAACAACTCGATATTTAAACTAATCATTAACCCTTTTTCACGTGGGTTTTTTTCGTTTCCTTCCCTAGGCTGCAAATATCCCCTCCCCTCCCCTGAATAAACAGAGGCCTTAATATAAGGGCCCATATGTGTCTTTTTGCTATGATCATGACAATTCAATTTAAGTTCTTTTCACTCACGCTTTTTTACAAGAATACCTCTAGAAGGGTCTCTCAGGGTTCATTTAGATACAAGAACGAGAAGTCCAAAGACTACTGCAGACTGCAGCCAGTAACATTTTTGCTTTTATCTTTTATTTTTAAAGTGCTTAAAAGTGCTTTTCAGAAACCTCTTCAACCATGCTTGTCAATGGCATCTGAAATTGTTTTAAACAATGTTGATTTTGTTATGAAAGATAAACGTGCCGTGGCTGGTGTCTTAGACCTCAATAAAACTACATGAAAGGCGTCACCACATTCGCGCATTAGTGAACCTTACGACTGCAAGAAACTATCCTTAAAAAAGGGCCGCTCTTTTGCTGCTTTTTGTTGCTGGGATGATTTTCAACTCATGCATCCATTATCCAAAACGTAATATAAGTTTAATTTTGTGACTTTTAAAAGTCAACTATCGCAGGAAGTTATTAGTTATTATAAGTCCGGGTTAGCTGTTTCCTATGATTGTGAAGACCCACGTTCGTTCACGTCTATCTCTTTAAAATGCAATAGTGCTCGTCCCTTGTCTCGTCCAATAACTTGTTGTGTGTAGCTGTAATAAGGTTTTTCTTGTATCGCTGTGTTTTTTTTTAATATTCCTTGTTTTTTTATTAGTATCCAGGCCCGCTGTAATTGGCCACAGCTGTTGCGGACGGTCCCTGCCAATGTTCTTTCTGTTTGTTTGTTCGTTTTTTGGCGAAGCTAATAAAAAAAATGAATTTATCTAAGCTAGAAAATTATGGTATTTTATACAAATTTGCTTCTCAATCTTATCCTTTCTGGAACTAATTTGGAGCTTAGAAGGAATGGCTCTTTCAAAACTAAAATCTGTGACTAAATGTTCAACATAATGGCTATTTTATTTAGAAGCATTTAAAAATTGCCTCGAAAAAATTAAAAAAACGCAGTTTTTCGACTATGGCAACACCCAACATACAAAGCGTGTAGAATTAACGTGACGCTTTCCCTTGCAAAATAAATGGAATCTATATAATACTGTGAACATTCAGGGTACAGACCATGCAGCAATAACTACATATCGAGTAATTTCTGCAGCTTTCATTGTCGGAACCAGAGCAGATAGATGTTAAAGATAAAGCCGATCTTGGCAAAATACCTGGAGAAGGTTAGAAAATTTTAAATCGAGTTATGGCCGCCGTTTTTGATAGATTGCGAAGTGTAATAGTGATGAGTTTTGTTTTTTGTTTGCTTGATTGCTTTTTTCTTCCTATTTTCATTTTAAAGGCGAAGATGACTGTAAGATGTGAAAAAGGTTTTCAGTAAGCATCACTAAGTCCTGAGAAAGCTAATGTTATTTCTAACGATCAACATTCCCGATGAAGTTGAGAACAAAATACTTCAGCTATCCTTTATACTAAATTCCCACCTTCATATGTAGGATAATCATTTCTTCATATAATTTTATGTAAAGCATAATTAATTGCGGGCGACCAGAGGAGCTTGCAATTCTTATCTCCATGTCGCCACTACGCATGCGTAGCTCGTTTGTTGCCAGGGGTCAATTTTATGAAACTTTCACGAGTTGAATCTACAAGTGTCGCTATTGCTATATAGCTGGAGTCTGGAAACAATACCTACATGTACGCTTGTGAATTACACTAAAATTTTATTGAATTGACCCAGTATAATGTATGTTTAGACTTTTGGCGTTTGGATCTTCTATCACTCGTAATATAATTACGCGCGTTTTGACCTTACATCACGGAGATTTATGCAAAGCACAACGTTGGAACAACAGCGTTTTGACATTCGATCGATCTCGCCCGCACTCCCTATAACCCTTTCGGTCTCGCTTGTAGTATTTACTCGTTTCAAATACTGTGATTTAATGCGAGGGCGGGGTTTATTTGAAACTTTGGCGCGACAAAGAATTGTTTTCACTTCTGTGTTATAATTTTCCGTCTTACAATAATAGTATTAACGTCTTTTGATTTTGATTATATCTAAACTCAGCTGTGGCGCTTACTAACTTGTTTGTTCCAAATGTAGAGCTGATTTGTGTACATATAATATGTACATTAGTCATATTCTTCATATTTTCTTGCAGATACCAAACTGACGAGACCCTATCATCCCTGTCATTATCGTTACCTCTGCAGCCACTGCATTTTTTACAGATGCGGTCCTCACCGACGAACTCGTTGTGGCTTTCAAAAGTGTTACGGTTGCAGACGATTCTGCTATTAAGGATAAAACTTCTGCAATATCGTGGGCATGCCAGTCTACAAAAACTCTTAGTTGGGTCGAACAGAGTACGCAAATCTAAAAAACTGTAAACTTGGAAACAAACCAGGCAGGGACTTTTATTGATGGATACTTTTTTAAGTGTTTGCTGTGAGACTAATATATTTGACGGTTGTTTTCAGCTTCATTGACTAACAGAAGCAAAAAGGACAACAAGTTTTCATAATAAAATTATTACAAACAAACCAGATGTAATTAAATAAAATTATTACGCTAGAACTAAATAGAAAAGATAATAAAGTATTTTTCCGTACTAGTCGAAAACCGCAAAATTTCAATAAACGCGCAAAAAATTAAAGCAGAACAAAAAAAACAAAAAGATGAACAGGTCAAGACAGGTTAGTTAATTAAAGATTAAAATGATTGTGTTGTTGTTGTTGTTGTTTGTGTAATAAAAACACACCTGGCTTTCCTTTTTTGAGGATATGTCCTACATGTCAAATCACATCACAGGGATTTTTATGAATCCGCCGGGGCATCTTTTTCGAAAGCACGTGGAATGGGTTTCCGCTCACTCTGACATTCTTGCATTTTAATAATTAATTATAAAATGCTGGTTCTAAGAGTACAAATGCGAGGTAATCATTCATATAAAATTCAGTCTTCGCCGCTTGACATTGTTGACCCCACCCATAGGCAACATTTAATCCAAAAAAGGGTTTATCTTCACTGGTGGCGTTTTTGAACACCGTTCCAATTGCTTGATCACCTTAATGAATGCACGTGGCTGTGAATTCTTTTTATAGTAGATTCATATCGCGCATTAACACATTTGCTTCAGGGTCAAGTTCAAGGAGGTCATACTCTCACTGCTTCAAGGTAAAAGCTTTTATTTCCTTTTTATTGTTTTGCTTTATCAGGATTCCATTTAAGAAATTAAAAGAAAACGAGGCATTTCATTAGCACGACAGTCATGCTTTTAAAATTCTTAGAAACAAAAAATGAATTAAATTATATCTGTAACAGGGAAACCAAAGGAGGAAATAGACCTATTCCGCTAACTCAAAGTTGTACTTAATTCAGACATTTTCGGAAAAAAAACGTTTTGTTTCAGGAATTTCCATATCATTTAAATGTGCCCAGAATGCCACATTGTAGTGCAAATACAACACGCAAAGAATCTTAACCCCGGGAGACTTGAATTGGGTGTACAACATTGAGTTAGCCGAATAGGTCTATCCATCAGAATAGTCGGATGAACATTATCTGAGAGCTTGCCACTTATGTAATGTATCAAATATTCAGATATGTTGACACCTTGAAGTGGGTTTATAAAAAAAGGCGCTGGCAAGTTTTTAAGTCCGACTTTGAGATATCCGCATATCGGATGAAACACCGAGAGGAATGTTTTATAGTTTCTCAAATAAACAAAATAATAGACCTTGTCACATTTTTCTTTTTTTTCTTTTTTTTTCTTTTTCTTTTTTTTTTATATAAAGGCTAGTAAGCAAGTATCCCTTGACATTTCTTGAAGGAGTGCCTTAAAATTGAAAAACTTAACAAGTTTAAAGGTGATACGTCGAAAGTCAGTGAAGATATAGCTTTACACAGTTAGGGCCTGTTTACATGGAGTTGGGGAACCCCAGGTAGGTGAGGTAACCCGTTTTGGTGGGTAACCCGCCTGTCCATATAATCTCTCATTTTAATTTGATCGCGTTTACATGATAGGTGGGGTGACCCGCCGCATGTTACCTCACCTATCTGGGGTCCACCACCTCCATGTAAACAGGCCCTTACTGGAATTTCACATGCCGTGGAACGTGTCCCTCAGCATACAAACTTCTGTAAAATTCCGCCACTTTGCGGGGCTATATTTTCAATAGTTTTTAATAAATCACTCTCAAACTTTGCACTTTTACTGGTTTCAAGGCGTTTAGTTTTCCAGCCGAGTTGACGAGTTTTCGCTGGTCGCAGTCAAAAGTTGGAAAAGAAAATTAAAAACTTGGGAGAGTCTTTCCTTACAGAAATTCAGCTGAAAGCTAAAGTTCGCAAAATCCGATGGAAAAATCCGAACCAGTGTTTCGGTAGTCATTTTCTTTGTTTTCTGTTCATGAATTATTAGTGAGGTTGAGGAAAAAACATGGTTTATAATTTATAATTTCTCAATAGCTCACAAAAGACAAAAAAAAATGGCTACGGGTATGATTTTATAAGCAGCTTATTGTAAAATTGCAAAATGAAACGTAAACATATTTCGATAAAACATAAAACCCGTAATAATAATAATACAGTTCAGATAACGCTGAAGAACGTTTTTTAATGGCTTTACAACCACAGGGAATAAACCAACATGGGCAACGAAGAGGAAATGCGCTTTTACACAATTAAGAAATTGAAAATTAGGACATGGTTCACCTTGAACCACCTTCCGTAAAACACCTGCTCCTTCTCCCTCAACTTTTGTTACTCACAGGTGATTTTGTTGTAAACTGCCTTGGCGATTCAGATTCTGGTGTTTTTATTGCATCTAGCGATATAGTTGATTAGAAAAGCTTCCCTTAAACTTGATACTGAATATATATTCAGTCACGATATCCAGTTAAAGGAGTTATTTGAATAATAGGGATATGAATTCCCCAAAATAATGTAAACATCTGTGAAAAAAAAAGAAGAAGAAGAAAAAGAAGAAAGAAGAAAGAAATAAACAACAACAACAAAAAAAACTTCGGTTTTCACAACCTGATCCAGTTTGTTTATTTGTGGCCGAGAAACAAACCCGTTTGTATTTTTTAGCGAAATTTAAATAATGTTCATTCAATATATTTTGTGGCCGTTTGCGTTTGTTTGGGGATAGTAACATTAACCGTTCAAGTCAAAGACCCGAGAGTGACTTTCAAGAGTCAACTTCCTCCTGTTCACAAGAGTGACTTTCGAGAGTCAACTCGGTTCTCCTAACAATATCAATACGTTACTACGAAGGAAAGGATTGTGAGAATTTTGATTAAGTGGTCACCTAAGAAAAGGTACTTTGATCTTATATCAAATTCTATCAGCTGGAATCTGAATCACTGACAGTGTTGTCCGCCATCTTGAAAAACGTGTCACGTGATACCGCTAACTCCATGGATATGCGTGCAACACCAAGCTGGCATTGGTACTTGGGCCAATCCTGGAGTCCACACACTCACACAGTAGTATAAACCAGTTAAATTTAGCTGACTTTTCTTTTGAAAGGTAATAAATGTACGTAGCGAAAAAAGTAAAAATTAATTTCAAAAATGCTAAAAAAAAATCAAAAGTTGCCCAGAATTTTAAAAGTTGGCGGAAATCGCAAAAGTTGCTGAAAATCTCAAAAGTTGCATAAAANGATATGCGTGCAACACCAAGCTGGCATTGGTACTTGGGCCAATCCTGGAGTCCACACACTCACACAGTAGTATAAACCAGTTAAATTTAGCTGACTTTTCTTTTGAAAGGTAATAAATGTACGTAGCGAAAAAAGTAAAAATTAATTTCAAAAATGCTAAAAAAAAATCAAAAGTTGCCCAGAATTTTAAAAGTTGGCGGAAATCGCAAAAGTTGCTGAAAATCTCAAAAGTTGCATAAAATTTGCCGAACAACTTGCGGTTAAGCCTAGCCAGTACCTCACGCAAGCGCCCAGTCAAATCACCCGTGCAGTGGCAGCCATGGACAGCTGTTTCGCCCTTATTTGGGCTCATCAGCATCGCATAGATGTCCATGGCTGCCACCGCCCGGGTGATATGGCTGTGCGCATGCGTGAGGTACTGGCCAGGCCATGGGTTGGTGTCTGTGTGCCCGTTTCTTTAAGTTTTTCCATTTCTTTACCCTCATTTTGTACTATGATAAGATTGCTATCACGATTGTAATGATCGCTATTGATGCAGTCATTCACTTTCACTTGTTCGTCTCATTTTCCCAGGAAATGTGGTTTTATAATCAAATCTTTGCTGTGTTGATATTCTCTCTGGTGTTCCTGTCGGCGCAGAGCAAACGCAAATACAAACACAAGAAGAAGGACGCAGTCAGTAATGGAGGTAGTGTTAGAATTTTTTGCCCCATGCTAAAACATCAACTGGGCATTCTCGTCCCCAGAGGCCGCGATCGTTTTGGTTAAAGATTCAAATGGAACGTGGCCTCTGGGGACGAGAAATTTATAGACCTACAACCCACTAGCAGGATATGCAGGTTAGAATCCCTTCCAACCCTAAAATTAATCCAGTTTCTTCCTAGCTCTCGTTATCGTTCCACAAGTCCGTCGTCTGTCTGAAGAAACGTTAGTTACCCAGAGAATCGTTTTCCTTCTGCAATTGACTTTTTTTTTCTCTTTACAAAAAAACAAGTAGCCTTGGCTATACTAGCTATTTTATACAGTATTTATTTATTTAATTTTATCGTCCTCTAATATCTTCTAATACTTGCTGTTTGACTTTTCCATCAATTTTGAAGTGTTACATCCTTTGATTTGACTCTCCTTTTTTTCCGACTCCCACGCTCCTCCTTGCCCATCCACCGTCTCTTGTTAGCATACATTAAGTGCCTCGTCACTGCAGATGTAAAGGCAAATTACAGATTGTTGAAGAGGGATCCTGAATCCGCATTCCCGCTACTTTTTCACGAAAATCCCGCATCCCAACGTCTGTCATCTCTCTCCGGAAAACCACTTTCTCTGCAATTCCGCATCTCGTGTCAAGATTTTGGCGAATCCCGCTTCCCAAGTAGCCGTCGAATCCCGTATTCCGTCAATAAATCTTGCCTTTTCCAAAATCGCGCAGATATAAAGCCCAGTTTAGGGCCTAGGTCCCTATGGGGAAGGTGTGGGACTTTATGCAGTAAAAATATTGAAAAACCTTGGATGAAGTACTAATCGTTAAGTTGTGTGTAACAATAATTTGTGCTGTAGAATTACAACGTTTTATAGAACATTCGGAATGCCAGCAAGCACTAGGTATGGAAAGTGGTGATATCTTAGACAGTCAGCTAAGTGCATCTTCAGAGGGTCAATGGACGTTAGATGGTGAGCCATTTTTAATGTCTGCAAGTAATGGCAGACTAAATAATGATGGTTTGGCATCTTGCTGGGAATCTGCCACAAATGATGAACATCAATGGCTACAAGTACACCTTGGTGAATATTACGTCAATGTTACACGCATAGCAACACAAGGGTGTGGTAGAGAGGAAGAATGGGTGACTTCATACAAGCTTCAATATAGTAACGATGGAGTGAATTTCCAATACTACATGGAAAAAGGACAAAATACAGAAAAGGCAAGCGTAATATACTATAAAGCACCTGGTGTGAATTTATTGGTTATTAAACAACGAATGGATAAGGCTCAGTATGATATGAATAGTTTTCAGATCAAAGGGGTTTTATATGCTGAGGTCAATTCTGTAGAGCACATTATGGCTATGGATGATTAAGGACCATTTAGCGATTAATCATATCTGTTGTGAGTTACTGTTAGTAACTTTATAGCAATCTACTGACGGGGTACACCCCACCAAATACTTTGGAGGAAAATGCGGTTGAAGGTCGAAGGAAAGTCAACCTGCGATTAGGTTTTTTCTGTGGGAAACGCCTAAGGCCGGCGCACGGAAAGAGAAAGCGAAGAAGGACCGTCTGATCGCAGGTTGATGGAAAATCCCTTCGTTAAACTCAAAAAGAGAACAAAAAGGCCAAGCTACAGTGGAGGTTAAAAGAACTTGGGAAAGCTGTAATAGCCTTTCCAAGTAATTGTTACACATGAAACTGCTTCTAAAAAAGTGATAATTCTTTCATCGGCTTTGGCTTCTTCCCTTTCTTATCGGGCACCACTTCCCCTAATCAATAACCAATAACCTTTAAAAGCCCGCTTTACACGACAAGCGTTTTGGGCACGGCGCCGACTATTTTCCTTGTAAACATTCGTTGCCATTTCTAACGGTCGACGCCACCATTGGTAACCAAGCCTCTAGTCCTGTTAGACGTACTATATTCCCTGGATTAAGAAGATTAAGTAAGATTAAATAGTACGTTTTCGAATAGTCTTCGAAACAACCCGTTAATGCGAATTGCAAGATGCAAATTTCGCGCGCTTTACGATGCATGCTCTGTTGCCAATATTCCCAGTCCATTTGTATGGAAAACCCGGTAATTTCGGGGAGAATTCAA